GATGATTTTGTTTGTTGTTACCAAAAATATGAATTAGTTGTCACTACCAAGGGCACCCTTAGGGGGGACAAGTAGGGGCAGTTGCCCCTCCCTTGACTTTTTCTGGTTTGTTTATCATATATTATGATGGATGATTTTAATGTTCTAAAATTTCTAGAGTTGTAAAGTATTATTTTTATTTTTAATAATATTAAAGATATAAATTCTAATCTACATTTTAAGCTTTTAAATTATTGTAGAAAAGTTTGACCGCCAGAACTCATCATTTAGACTACCTACTTATTTAATCCAAAAATTAAATACTTTTTTTTCTGTACCTATAGGTTTGGACTTGAGATCATATATTTATTATAAAAATCATACAAAAACATGTACAAATTTAAAATTTAAATTAAGAAAAAACTTCAAAATTCTCTATAAATCTTTAAATCCGAAAATTACCTTAAATTTAAAATCGTCAACAAATGCAATGCAGGTATGTTATAAAACGAGTATCACGTAGATTTGAAAAACAATGCAAACTGCGAAGTGCATCATAATCATAACCTTAATTTATTATTACCGTTTTAATATAAAATATCGCAAAATCTTTTTTTAAATTAAAAATAAAATTTTTTTTTTTACATAGTGAGTTTAATACACCCTATTCAGAGTCAAAACTAAGAACGTTGCTTTTATAGATTATGAGATGTATTGGTTGTGACCAAGTGCAATACTGCAGTGTCAACCAAGCTTTTACTTTTTTGATAAGAAATTTAATGTTCATAGATGGCATACAATAGCTACAACTTTTCATGTTTGACTGAATAAGCTAGAAATATTTAATTTTATAAATTACCTAAAACTATAAAACCAACGGTAGTATTTTCTCTATTAAAAAATTATGTATTATTGATAATTTAAAATTACATAACAAATAATTAAAATTAATGCTGCAAGATTAAGTTTTAATTAACTATGTACGTATAATTCATAAATATATTTACATTCCTTGTCCATATGAAAGAAAATATGTCACAAAAATACTTTATAACTAATAGGATAGTGAGACAAAAAATGTAAAAAGGAAAATATTTTTCTCTTACCTTGACAAATTTCTGCGGACGCTCTTGGTCACATGCGTGTAATACTTATGGTTAGATTATATTATGAATATAATCGAAACTATATCAATGATTCTTTCAACAAAATGACCGACTCGAAGCTTCAAACTGTGACCAACTGTCTCAAGTATAGGTACATTATATACTGCCCACAAATGATGTATACAAAATAATAAAAAAAAACTTCTATTGTTGTGGGACTTTTGAAATATGTTGTACATTGTCAACGCACTTTTATCAGACAATTCGTGGCAAGCTTTCAATATGCTGTCTAACAATACAAAACCGCTGTAAATCGATTTTTACAATGAGTGTATATTATTATTATTTATCAAACCGATTTATATATATCATTGTGTTAATAATACGAAAAAATTGTATCAATCAATTATAGGTCCTGTAAATATCATATAAAAGACATAATAAAGTACTTAAAAGGATTTAAAACTAAAATAAAAAACATGTAAATATAACACATTAAGTAGTTTCTTAACAAAAAGAACTAATTATTTTGTTGAAAATTACAACAGTCCGAACGCATTTAATGGAATATAAAAATCGTTAGTGGTTAATTTGTTTTATTTATAGGGTATTTTTGTCTTAATATAAGAACAGCAGCAATAAAATGCCACATAGAAATACCGTAAAACGCAAAAGTCATTTTATGAAGCCATTTTTTGACAGATTTGAAGAATAAAAACGTTATGGAAAAAGGAGATTATCTAGAAAAGCGGATAAAAGCTGAAATATTGGATTCAAATTCTGTCAAAGAAAGTACTCCGGCAATTCGATGTAAATACCTATGCAATTAATATTATTATTTATTATATTTTTTTCTCCACAGCTATGATTGACGAACAATTTTAACAATGTTCATACGTCATTTTCACTCAAATATTACTAAGGGATTATCGAAAAGTGAGAGTGAATGGAAAGATTTGTTAAATGCGAGTCGATTTAGAGGATTTGAAAGGGCTTTCGTAGTTTGGCTGGTTCGCTAACTATTGGTATTGGCAGATAAATGTGTAGAGAAGCAATGGAAATGTGTGGGGAGGACAAATATCGTCCTTATCTGAAAGATATGTATCTTTTTTTTATGTCAGTTTTGGGCAACATATTATCGTTCCATCGCTGACTGATCGACTAGTATCGATTTAAAAACAATTACGAATGGAAGTTTCAAAGTTACAATGTAAAGAACGTTGCAAATAACTGAGAGTCTGTGGTTAAGTGATTATTTGGTTTTACTAAAAACTATTTTCGTTATAGTAAACTGTGATAAAACTATAAAAGTATAATTTATTATATTTAAAACATTGTTGTTAGTATAATAGTGTATAATAAATGGACATTATATGAATAATTCAACACTACATTAAGAAAAATGATTAATGTGCAGATCACTGAAAACACAAGATAATACGTAGCATATTCGCCATATTGCATATTATACCTAATAACTTATATCAAACCAAATTTTCGTAAAAATTAGTTTCATAAAACATTATTGTCGAATTTCATTATGAAAACTTCAGTTCGTATATATTATAGTGTAATCCGAATAACATGTGAGCATATAACTTCGAGGTATATTCACAAGAAAAATATGACTGATGTTATTTATACTTCATGAATGGAATTTAAATAAATATTTATAGATTTTGTTAAATTTTGTTTTTAAAAATTCGATTGAAATAAAACGCACATATTATGTGTGATAATATTTAGAAATACACGTAATATAATTCTTAAACAATTTAAGTTTTGAACTACGTGCTTGGATCCTAATTCCCAACTATGTATATTTGTATTTTGTAGTTAAAACTTTGCAAACACGTCATATACAGTTATATGGCAGTGTACAAATTAGTTTGGTAGAGGACTACTCTGAATGTTGTTGCCTAAATATTTCCAGTGCATAGGTTTCATCGTGATGTATCATTATTATATCGTTTGGTTATCAACGACAGACCACAGACATATACTTTCTTCACGATTAAATAATTTCAGTACACGAATTCGCATTCTCTCCAAGCTCACAGATAAGCCTTACACAATGTGTAATACACAGACATAAATAATATTAGCTATTTAATGAGTAATTATTCTAAATATGTAATATATTTGTAATTGAATCAAACTTTTATTCGTGTTTGAAACATTTCATCGGGTAACGAAATCACAACAACTATACACGAATACACGTACAGACTAAAGAGCTACTCGTACTTCACGGAACACGAACTATACTTTTAGAAACTCGAGCGAACCTCGCCCTAAGTCCTGGTTATGTTGGGTTAGAGTTGGATCGTGGACTCAGGGTTGGGAAATATAGTTAAATTTCGTTAAATTTATTTACACGTAACCGATTGAATATCGGCTAACTAAAAAACATTGAATTACACCTATGTAGTATGATTTAAGAACAGTTTTAAGAAGTTATTAATTATTAAACTATTACAGTAGCTACGAACTTATAATTATTTATTTACGATACATTGAAGACTGTCTTTTATACACTCTGTTATAACCCAATTAATATGATAAGATTAAATTAATTACCTAGATAGATACTGGGAATACCACCGTACTGTATACTACGTATTTTAATGTCTTACGAGTTATTTATTCAAGTAGTTTTTTTTTTATATTTTAAATTTAAAAAAAAATTGACCTATAATAGGTACCTATACTAAATTCCAAATTAATCATATAGGCAACGAGTTCCATTTTTGATCAATTAAATGGTACACCCTTGTTTATCATTACGTACTTAAATATAAAAAGTATTGTTTATAAATAGTAGGTACCTCCATAAATATTCAATATGATTATAATACGCTTACCTTATGTATATTTTCATAAACATAACATGAATAAATGGATGTTAATCACAAACGATGAATGATTAAACAAAATATTATGTCAAATAATAAAATGAAATAATTACCTTCACGTAAAAATGGCATAGGTGGGTAGTTTAAACATCTATTATTTTATTATCTAAATCCGTGAGAAATCGTGTTATCAATTTTTTACTTGATAAGATACAAACACTTTTATATATATCACGGACTAAGATATTATGGTCTGGAAACGAGTGGCTTATCACGGCCATGATTGTTACAAAAGAGGTAAAGTGCAATGGGCACTTAGAGTTTACAACGCCGTCTGTATACCGACGGACTAAGATACAAAATGTAAAGCCGAATAAAACCACCTGTCGAGCTGAAAACATTAGGTACCCAGTATTCTCATCTATGGTAGAACCTTTCGGTTGCCGTACCGACCATGTCGTTTCCAGTCCATTATATCTTAGATAAATATATAATATAATAAGTCAGATAGCTAACCGTCCACTTATATTATAATTATAGACCTATGTTGGTTAGCCCTCGTTGAAGCCAACAATCCTCCCTATTAATCGGTAATATTAGATATTAAACATAATATTTCTGTGGGTGTCTTCGAGTTAACAACTGGTATTGATTATGCACATTTTTTAAAAATATATTTTTTTCTATTTGAAACGAGTGCTTATTACAAGAGTAATATTTATACTAGCCTATTACAAATCAAGGGACAGTTCGTTGCTTTATATATTTGATTAAAATACATAACCTGTGATTATTATTGATTTTCGATTATTTATAAGACTGCCGTTTTGGTACTGTTTCATTTAGTATTGCAACCAAATCGAATCGTATCATTTTGTCATGATGAACGCGGACCAAACCCAGTCGATTTCCGCTGAGAGGGAAGCCATGATGAAGGTTTTTGAGGAGCTTAGAGCAGCAAAGTTCTATTTTCCGAGATAATGGGAGGTACCCAGCCGTGAACACGATCCCACTCCGGATTTTGAGGCACAACCGCAGCGGACTCAAGTCGGGGACATGGATGAGGACATCGGCCGCAGATCGGCCGATGCGACGGAACTACATGTCCGACGCAGAAATATTGGGAGTGCAGGACTGGTTCGGAAAGCCAGCTGCACTGACACTGCAGGTGTACCGAAAGATAGAGTTGCCAAACTATGCCGGTCCGGCATTCAGGTCCACGATGGCCATGGTTGATGCCGCATTCAACCATCCGCTGGTGTTATCAGCGGAAAGCGTGGCCGTCGATCCGATCGCGGTCATGCAGACGCTGCCAGCTGCGGAAGTCCCGGACGACGACCTGATCAGAAAGCGATTGTGTTCGGCCAGGAACGATTCGTGGCCGTCAGAACCGGAAACTGGGGCAGAGGACATCAAGCGGCAAGCAAATAAGGGACGCCCCTCCGCCGCACTTTCTGGCGCCGGACAATGCAGTTTGTCGGCCGTTTGTTTTGTTGCGGCGCCTACGCGACCGACGTCGCAGGTTTCCGAGACGCTTAGCAACTAGCAAGTCAGCAGCAAGAAGTGAACAGCTGTCTGTTTGGTGTATACATTTGGAAATACATTAACGAGGGGGTACAAAATCATAATATGAATAATGACACGGGACAGTCGCAAGTACCTCTGACGTTTTAATATAAATACAAAATATAGTTGGAACATATGGTAAATATAAAATATTATTGTATTATATTATTATGGTACTATATTTTATATTTATATTAAAACGTACTTGCGGCTCTCCCATGTTATTATTCATATTATGATTTTGTACCCCCCCCCCCTTTAATGTATTACCAAATGTATAATGTATGTATATATTTTATTGTAAATTGTTAGAAATATTATGTTTTTGTATCCACTTATTAACTATTCTAAACCTTCAATGTATTATTGTGTATCCTCTAATGTAAAATGGATAAAAATATATTATGTACTGTTATATTGTTGCAAATAAATATTTTTTTTTTTTAAAAAAAGTATATTTACAATCTATACAACAGACAAGGTATAATATGAACAAGTATGGTGACATAACAACATTAGACATAAAATAACATTAATAGGAAGGATCCCAGCAGTGCCACTTTTATAAATAAATTGTTAGAAGTATTTTTTTCGCAGTGAATAATGTATTATTATTATAAATTATAATGTTATAAAACCTGCCTACGTCAAAAAGTTCTTATCAGGCAGTCTACGAGTGTGGTCTGAGGTTATAGCTATACTGTATTCATACTACACAATATTTATTATAATTTCTATTTTAATAAATCGTTACAATACCAAAAAAAATTTATGAATTCTTAACTCAAAATAATTTGCTAATTTTCGTAATTTTCAATATTTTCAATTTTTGAACTTAAAATGCTTATAAAAAAAAAACTGTGACAAGGATTTTTAATATTTTTCAAATGTCATTGTAACTATACAGTAGGAGCCTTGTATTACATTTTCAAGTATTTTTACTGAACAAACAAAGTTATTGACATTCATAGAATCAAATACTAATAAAATTGGAAACTGAAAATGTAATGTTAATAAACAGTTCAAAACAAATCAAAATATTTTGAAAATTTTATCGTGTATAGAAAATGCAAATATAAACAACCAGTGAAAATGTCATTTATATACATTCATTTGTTTTAGAGTTACCCTAAAAACCAAAATAGATTTTGTGGAAAACCGATTTTGCGTAAAAATTCCCGTTTTTCCTTAATTTGTATGTTGTTTTTCTCGGTGCTTTTGAAAACTATTGGAAATTTTAAAATTTGACCTCCCGAATGCAGCAACAATATTCATATTCCCATCGAACAAGATACTGAAGTTGAAAATCGAAGCATTATTTCGACTAATTATCGTGTACACAGACACAAAAAAAAAAAAAATAAATAAAAAAAAAAACACACAACATTGTAAAATCAATACATTCATAAAATATATATTTTGTGCAATTAATGTATAATAAATAATATCAAAATTCAATATTATTTTTAGATAGATCGCGTACTGCTAAAATACGAGTTTGATAGATCAATTATGAAATCACTACCAAAATATTATTTATATAGAGTATAGACATTTTTTTGCATACCCAATATTGCTCGGAAACTAAAGACCTTGGTGAGATTTATTATTATATCATGTGTTTCAATATTGGATTTTCATTATTAGACTGTAATTTTACATTGTAAACAATAATATCAAAAGACACAAAAATATAGGGTTGATGTTATTCAGCAAAAGCTGCTAACAATAGCAAAAACAACTTCCCTGCTGCCCACCACCGATAAACGACGGTCTTCATTAGATACCCAATATTCTACCTCCCGCTTTATAGAATTGTGTATAAAGTATAAACAAATTATTAATAATTAGTAATTTTTATTGAACGAACTAAAATAAATTAACATTCATTACACTACATAAATACATATATACATAGGCAATAATCTTTCACTAGTTTCAATATTGTGCTTTTGGTTTTGATATTAGAGTGAATTCAAGCATAATATGAGCATTTTCAATTTGTACTATTTCTCATAGCCATATCTCGTTTGAAAATTAAAATATTGAAAAAATGTTGACACTTAAACACAGATAATGTTCTTACCAATAATAGGTCAATTCACTCTAATATCAAAACGAACAGCACACCATTGAAACTAGACAATGGAAATTTACTATGTCATGCGTGTGTGAGAAGCAGACAACAAATTAATGGGTAGCATCTTCTTATTAATATTTTGAAAACATATTTTAAAATGTATTATGAAGTCTATTTCAAATCCTTCAACAGTTAGCGGGGTCAGCGTTACACATTCGCATGCAAGTGACATAAATGTATTTTATTTTTATTTTTAAAATGTTCCAAATGATAAAGGTAGGTATATTTTTTTTTTACCAAATACCTAAATCACTGAAAATGTGAAAAATAAAACATTTATCTGGATGAGTATTAATTAATTTTTATCTAAATAAACTATAAACTATTAGTTATATATTCCTAGAACTGGTCGTGGTTTCTATATTATATTAAATATCTGAATGGATAATTTTGTTTTTAAATTCACAGGTTTCTAAGGAAAAAATTCCTAATATCTCAACTAATTATTCGAGGCTCTCAAGGTTAAATTACTAACGGAAAAAAACCACCTAAATTCCTCGGGAAAACAGAAACAGATATATCTAATCGTAATTTGTGTAGTCCAGTACCTTTACTTTATAGCATACCTAATATAGTGATATCTATAAACAAATAAAATTGTTATTTGACTTATATTATATTGTATGTATATTGATATATTGAGTATTGAAATAGCAGGCAAAAAAATATAAATTGAATAAAATGTTAGAATAAGTGATGTATTCATTAGAAATTTACAGTACCTACAAAGTTTTAGATTCAATCCGGCTGCCATGCAAAATTAGTTCCTACTACATAATATCATTATCATATTAAAATTGCATATACAATGCGCCGTTTATAAAATTTCGTCGTTTGTTATAACATTTTGTTTTATTAATAATCATTAGGTATTTAGTATTTACTATTTACCACATTCATAATACATATTTGCTATGCTTCATACTGTATAAATAACTTTTGAACCAATTATTTAATCATACAAAGGTAATAAAAACCATAAGCGTGATTATAAACTAAATAATCTATGTTCAAGCACATTTTTAAGTTTTAAATTTTTCACTACGGACATCACAAGTCGAGAAGACTCTATTGGCTTTTAGTTATGCGGAATATGTATTTCGTAATTTATGCATAAAATAAAATGTATAATATTTATTGTATATTTGTTTGGCGTCTGGCTGGGTGGCAGGTTAGGTTTGTTCTTATAATACTACCTATGGTGAAGTGAATGACCAAAAATGCTACAACTTGGGTTTCCCCAAGGATATAAAACTTCGTGTCCTTGTTGTTTGACAACGAAAAGACCTTTCAGAAGATTTGTATACCACAAAGGTACCACTCGTACCGGAGTGTTAAAGTACCTACCAATTGTTCCTATTTTATACAAGTCGATCGAGCGAACTCAATTGGATTATAATATTTGTGTTAAATATTCCGGTTTCACTTTGGTATAAACACAATACTTATAATGAAAATGGTTTTAATCATCGGATAATACCAACAATAAATTATTATAATTTACTATCGACTTTCACAAACACAATACAGAAATATACATAGATACACTTTAAACTGAATTTAACCTTATTTAAACCATAGGTAAATAAGCAATTATAAAATAACGATACCATTTATTTCGTTTGGTAGATACTTGGAAGTATGCAGTGTCATCGAAAATGATTTCTCATGGTAAGCTGACACCAGAATGTTTATTTTATAATAACGATTGTCGGAATGAGTCAGATGTTCAATCGTTATTTTAAAATTCACATTGCATCGGTGAATTGGATATTTATTTCAACAATTAGTGTTTTTTTTTTTTGTGAAATTAGGTCATCTTTATTTCTAATATAATAAAATATACATATTAAATACTATAGCCTATAGGTAGGTAGGTATTGTTTGTATTAAATTTTTATTTTTTCATATAAATAGTATATAATCATCAAAAGTGGCTTTAGAAAAAAACTATAGAGATTTTGTAACTCAAGACTACTTATTGCACTTAACGATATACAGAACTTAAAATCTGTCCTAACTGTATATTTTAAATGATTGTTATTGATTGTTACCTTTTAAAGTAGTCGCATGTTGTGCGTTTAAATTAATAATATTGTTTGTTTTTCTTCTTCTTTTTTAATAGGTAAACAAATATTGGAGAATCGTACAGTCAGTTTCGAAGGGTAAATAAATAGCCCCTTCAACACACAACAAACTTGTTTATTCTCATCACACGAACTTTATATAAACTTGCGATAAGACCCATCTACATTCCGATAATCGCGAACATTGTTAAAATGCTGCCGTAAATTTTTAATTAATTATTAGATTTTATTTCAGATTTTAAATCCAATAATACTGATAAAGGTAAATATTATTTAATTATAAATTATACAAATAAATAGGTAAAATAATAATTATTGATTAAGTAATGGAAAACGACCGAAGTTATATGTACCTATAAAATTGTGCGTAGCACAGCAAATATCATATTTAATCCACATCAAAAATTAAGTGAACGAAAATTTTATAAAGTACCTTCTAAGGCTTGTGACTACACGAATAGTAAGCTAGATACTATATTATTAAAAATTCGACCTAATACACCAATTAAATGTGTATCGTAAATAATTGACTCGTCTTGTACTACGAATACAACGTAAAATCTTAAATATTATATTCCAACGTTTAGTATATTAAACTTTATGCACTTGTGCGCTGGTGAATACTAATGAATGCGTTGGTTCATATACTTTTATTTTTCATAAAATTTATCTTTTTCTATTATTTCTCATTAAAAAAAACATAAACTTATAGCACAGATTATTTGTACAGTATAAAAAAATATAATATTGTATTTTTTTTTTATTTAAGTCTTTAACAACAACTGAGGTCATTAGCCTGTTACTGTGGTGGGAGGGTACGGTTGGTTTTAGACGTGTGTGCATGTATACCAAGTATTTGTCACTAAGAATCCGGGTGGTCACTGGTCACCCATCCAAGAACTAGTGGCACCGGCTGGCACTTACTCTCAGATCCCTTTTTGTGATTGTTTGCAACCACCACGTTACTCCAAGCCACAATTTTGTAATTATAATATAAACACTACTTATTACACTATTTCGTCTAATGTAAGGCGAATAATATTGAATTATGAGGCAGAAGTAAGTACACTGTTAGAAAATATGCAGCGTGGTTGGCTTATCGTAAAAATCGACTTTTTTCAAGTTATGCGGTACGCTTAAATTTTATTTTAAATAAATAAGAACCAAATTATTCAATACACCCAAGTTTTTTTTTCTTCCAATATTATCCATGCGTGTTTTTGTGAATAAGATTGAATAAATTTTTAGTAGAACCGTTCTGAATAATTGTACTATAATATTTGTACTTTGTATACATATAATTTTAATACAACCAAATAACAATTGTACGGTTCAACCATAGGCGCAATTAGGGGGGGACTTGGAGGGGCTTAGCCCCTCCAATATTAAAATTAGCCCCTCCAAAAATTTATATTTAAATTGAAGTATTAAATCCTTCATTAATTATCTAATATACATAATACCGTAATCGTCGTTTGAAAAAAATTATTTCTAATGTTTAAATCTGGAAACATGAAACAAACCCATACAACAACATGATGTTAGACCTTATTTACCCGCCGTATTACGAAAACAATAAAATTACTGTCTATATAGTGTCTTTGGCGTAGTACGCTGCTCGGGATCGGCTTGTTTATCATTCTTATTTCACGTATGTTGTATACATACCGTATGCCCCGCCCTTCTGGAGACTCGTATTCAATATTATAGTCAATAAATTGATATTTGATAGTACCTAGTCTATTTTTGGAATATGTTTTGGTTTTCCAATAACTCCAGTCATTAAATCCTAATTTCTAAGATTAAATCATAAGCACTCATAACGTTATTGCTATTTGCTTATCAGTTATCGGTTTATTAGTTAAAACTTAAAATGTTCAATAGTCAACAATAATTATTATCATTCACAATAATTTTATTTCGTTTTTGTAATAAACGTGGTGTTCTGCTCGTCTGCTCAGTGCTTCTACTACTAAAAATTAAAATGGATAAAAATAATAAAGTGTTTGGTATTTTCAATTTTAAAAGTAATAAAAATGAATCCTTGTGTGAAAATAATGAACCTCAGGAAGGACTTGAAAATACTTCTGTTGCTGAAGTTGATCCTGATGATCCACCTGTTTTACCGGATGTACAAAAGTTGCCTTCTGAGAGTATTGATATTGGGGATATAAATACAGGCCCGATTCGCCCAAAGTTACAGGTATGCTTTCATAAATTAATTTATAAACATTACGTTATTACTAGTACATTATTACTTATAAGTCATAAGTAATAATTACTAATGTTATGAGTTATAACTTATAATTAACATATTCAGTAATAACCTAGTTATAATTAATTGCTTAATAATTAATTTTAGACATATCCAAAAACTGTTTTTGGCAAACAAAACAGAGGATTTTCATCTACATTGTTTGATGGTTTTCCTTGGCTTGAATACAGTATTCAAAAGGATGCTGTCTTTTGCTATCCATGTAGAGTTTTTGGAACTGGGAGGTCAGAAGGTACTTTTGTTACCAAAGGGTTTAGAAATTGGAAAAAGGTGTGTTTTATTTTTTTAATTATTCCAAATAGACTTAAGCTTGTTGATTTTTTTCTTTTATTTACATAAAATGTTAAATTGTGCATTAATATTTATAATTAGATAAGTGGATCCATTTCTAAGACTTCCAAATTTAATTCAAAGTCAAAATTAGAAATTCATGCTACAACTAAACAACATTTGATTAATTCAGAAAAATGGGCCTCATATACTCAGAACATAAAATCAGGTTCTGTACACACTCAGATGGCAAGTGCATATCGTGAAAAAGTATTAAAAAATAGAGCTTACATAAAAAATCTGATTGATGTAGTTTTGTATTTGGGACGTCAAGGACTAGCATTCCGTGCGCATAACGAAGAAAAAACATCAATTAACCAAGGTATAACATTTTAGATTCAGTCTTCAATATTATGGTTTTAAAATAATTATACTTTTATTTTTAAGATGTATCAGTAGCAAAAAAATTAATTTTGATTTCTATTTTTACATTGATGGAAGTCAAAGTTTATAATATAAAATATTATTCTTATGCCATACTATAATTTTGTTTTAAGGTAATTTTAAGGAAGCTTGTGTTTTACTGTCTAAATGTAATGAAGATTTTTCTACCATATTCAACGAAAAAACCAATTATACCAGTTGGTCAATCCAAAATGACCTTATAAACATCTCTGCCCAAATGATAAAAAACACAATTGTCAATGAGCTGATAGAAAGTGGATTTTTTAGTGTCATGTGTGATGAAGCAAGGTAATATCAAAATTAAATACAAATACTGTGAACTATACTGCCATACTGATTAGGTATATTATAGGTAATATCAAATAGGTTTTATATTTGAGATTGTTTTATCTTTTTAGATGTTTCAGACAAGAGCAGATGTCAATTTGTGTACGTTATACCAAGAATTTAAATGTGTATGAACGATTTTTAGGTTTTATTGATGTGTCCGAGAATCAAAACGCAGATGCTTTGGCTACTGCTATGGTCAGTTTTTTTGAAATAAATAAAATAAATGTACCTATAGTAGCCCAAGCATATGACGGTGCTAATGTTATGTCGGGTAAATTCAACGGAGTACAACAAAAAATCAAATCAAAATACCCATATGCTGTATACACTCATTGCATGGCACATCGAATTAATCTAATTGTTCTAGATATGTGCAAATTGGTAAAGGTATGAGGAATATAATATTAATAATACAAATGTATACTCATTAGTTTATTAAGTAATAACTAATAAGAATTTTTTTTTTCAGGATACTAGAATAGTATTTAATTGTCTTGAGACATTGTATGTTTATTTTTCACACCCGGGTAATGATGCAAAATTCACCGAGATTCAAGTAAAATTAGGTATCAAAAAAACTTCTCTGACTCGTTTAAGTGATACACGTTGGAATTGTCGTGTAAGAAACTGTGTTGCTGTAAAATTAAACTTTAAAGCTATAGTTACATTGTTAAATGATGAAATCAACTCTTCCACAAATAAAGATGTTGTACAAGCAATAGGTAAGAATAATAATTTTGATTCTACTTGAGTTATAACTATTGTAAAATATAAAATCTATATAATAAAACCATAATTTATTATTTTATAGGCATTATGACTATTATTACTAAACCATCATTTATTGTTAATCTCATTATTTTGGAAGAAGTATTACAAATTATAAATATATTGTCTACTCAGCTACAAAAAAAAGATGCTACATTAGGAAGCGCTGTTACTTTAATTGAAGGAGTCATTAAAACCTTTGAGTCCTTACGCACAGAAGTTGAATTTCATAATATATGGGAAAAGATAATCAATTTTACCAAAATCAATAATATAATACCAGATTTCACAGGTAATAAAATTTGAGTTTGTCCTAAATGTATTTTATAAATATAAACATCAACATGTCTAGGACATAGGTGCATTTAATTATTGATTTTTATAACAATTGTTACTAATTAAGGACAGGTCAAATATTAGGTGTCTTGTTTTATCATTAAGCATTTGCTATTTTATCTTTTTTGAGCAGTTTAGTTTTTATAGGTTAATTATTGTTACTGTATTATGTTATAAATTATAAATACCTAGTTATCTAGCTCGAAATATCTAATATTCTTATGTTTGATCTATATTATTTATTAAAGGTCCCAATAGTAAAACAAGTAAACGTCAACGCCAATCAACAAGTAATTTAGAAGATTTTCATGTTTTTGCAACTACAAGTTCTGAACAACAAAATCAAAATGAGTTTAATCAATATACAGAAAGTTATTGGAGGACTCATTATTATCAAATTATAGACACTTTAATAATACATTTTAATAAGAGATTTTCATCAAATAGCTTGGAATTGGCAACATCTATTGATTACTTTCATAAAATGAATTATTATGAGAGTCAATGTTTTATTGAACAGTACAAAGTATAGTTTTTATATTGTATAAATGTTTTTAAATATCAATATGCTGATCAATTTTTATAATTTAATTTTTAGGACTTATTGAATGTGGATGTAAATACCCTTCAATCAGAAATGCTTGTGGTAAAAAACTGTGTGTCTCGTAGAAACCCCAATTTCACTTTGGAAGATATCAAATTAATCATGGATGCAGAGCTTTATCCTAATTTATATAAACTGTTATCATTATCTTTAACAATTCCAATTAGCTCTGCAACATGTGAAAGATCATTCTCAGCAATGAGAAAGATTAAAAATTGGCTTCGAACATCTATGAATCAAGATAGATTTACAAATTTGTCATTAATTTATATAGAACGAGATTTATCAAATGAATTGTCCAACGAAAAAATATTAGATACATTTGCAATTTCTAACCGAAAGTTACAATTATAATAATATACTTAATAAATAAATATATATTACATTTATTTACCTAAATGTTGTTATTTTTTCGTACAAATATTTTTAGCTTTATTAATAGATACATTATAATTTATAATATATTAAATGTGGGAAAGTGGGTGAAAAAAAAATGAAATTGCCATATTGGTACTTGAATGGGGGGGGGGGGGCAAAGCCCACCACGGGTCTGTTTCATTTAAATATGTTAAGCCCCTCCAAGATAAAAACTGAAATTGCGCCTATGGGTTCAACTAAGCTTTTTTTCAAAGACATATAAACCGCGTGTCTCATATATTCAGAAAGCCATTTTGCCTATAAGACAATAACATTACATTTTATATTCGAAAGACATTTTATTTTTCAGATTTAGCTTCGTTTTCTTACAAACGCGATGGCCTGTTATTATGAGTTTCGGGGGCAATGTTTCCCAATAGATGATGGAAGTCCGATATAAACGGGTCTCGGCGGACTTCTAAACAAGACTCACCAAAACCAAAGTGCACCGTACACATGGTATTCGAGGTTTTCGGTGTGAAAAAAAGACCGAAATAAGAAAAAAATAATGTATGTCTTCTATATATATATATATATATATATGTATATAATTTCTAGCGTGTCTCCTCTCGTATCAGAATCCTTATAATATAAAGTTGCCTTGGCGACAGAGGGCCATATGGATCTTAAAAGCCATACACACTAACGTTCCGTCAGCAAATAAAAAACTGTTTTTGATTCTCAAAAAAAGAAAAACTGTCGTTAAGTGTAATTGAAGAAGTGAAAAAGGACTCGAAAGACAAATTTTAAACACGACAATACAATACATAAAATTATTATATTATATCCCATCGTCAATATGTCCAATATTAACAATTATAGTAAGCGATTTTAGTTCGCCTGATTTTTACAACGCTGTTGTAAGATATAACGAGTACATTTACTTAAGCATTTAACAGTTTTTGTATAAAAATTTAATTTCATAAAAATTCATATTTATTTAATTTTTAGAAAAACAGCTTTCAATTAATATTTTGTTTAAAATCTAAGAAACTCACATAACTAGGACCTATTATATATTTTATAATATTATATGAATTAATTAATTACCTATTTTATAATTGTACTTACACGAGATTTGTATATTTAATGTACCTACTCAACGATTCACTATATTTAACAAAATACGTTTCTTCGTTTTTAAATTTATTGAACAATCGTTTACTAGGCAATGTACCTACTTGCATAATATACAAACTACAAAGTTAAGAAAGGACATTTTTTGACTAACAAAGTTTTTGTCACGTACAAACCATTTTACTTTTGCATATTTGAACTTTAACGTCACATATATGATGCGCATATGTTTGTATGAAATATTTCAGACACTTAATATGTGCTTGTATAATATTTTAATAATCTATTAAATAAGTACTATGCTTTATTCTTTAAATTTATTAATTCATATCAATAGATCTCAAAAGATCTTACAAATTAAAAACACGATGGTTCATCTTGAATACAAATTATGAAATTGAAAGTAAAATTAAATTACAGAGTGCAATCATAATTTTTTTTTTAAATATTTAAGAACTTTGAATTTTAATCAATGGTAACAATCATAAAATAATTAATAAAATATAATTATTTCTAGATAAATATTATATCCATTATTTTGAGATCCACTAATTATGATTTTTTTTTATAAATTTATGATTACTATAATAATTATTATTCATAACAATATTTTAAAAATGAAAAACTTTCCTTACTTGAGACGAATAAATTATTAATAAGCTTATATATAGTAAAAGTGAGGTACACTTAGCTATTCCTCTATGTAATTATTTTATTCAAAATTATGTTAAGTAAAAATGTGTTAAATTGTTTTGTTATGAAGAATCGTGTTATGTATATGCCACATCATGATTCATTAAAGATGTCAAATTATTTTTTTTTAGTGAGGAGTAAAGTTTCCGTTACCTCACTCAAAAAAATTAGACATTTAATGAATTACTTTGTAATGTTACAGGATCTCCGAGTCCTACGGAAACGTACTAATTTAAATTGGTGGGGTAATTGAATATATACGCTACTTTTAATTAGCGAATCCTCGTGGGACACTCTCCTGTATATCCGCGTTGTACATCATTTGACGCTGAAAAAAATATATACATAAACTTACATTGATATCACCCCAACCTCCTCTTCCCACGCAAAGCATAACGTGTATATTATATTAGGACATTAGGTACGTACAACTAACCATCGATAAAGTGTGTTCTAATAAATATCAAATTTCTTAATAATTGTTTTTTTTATCGCCATCATACTATTAAAATAAAATTTTTAACTCTTCTCACTTATACGAAACATATTTTATTATAATTATTATTATAATTCTTTTTTATGAGAAAAGTGCTCAAAACTTTTTACGTAAATCTATCAATTCGGTTAATTTTGCAGTTATTAATTAAAATAATAAAATTATAATAACATTTTTCGAAATTATCTTACACTATTTTAATTTAATACCTTAGTGTAAAATTTAAAAGATATTTTATTTTCAAAATGAAGTAATTTTTTTAATGTTTTTTACTTTGTGAATTTATTGTTGACATTTACTTTAGATAAACATTTTTAAATGATTTCGAAAATATTGTTCTGCTACTTTTGTAATAGTTACCTTAACTCCCTAAAAATTTAACAGTTTTTTGCAATCGGCATAACTGAACGTTACAATACATGTCGCGTACGTTTTAAGGGAAAATATCATGTCAATAAATGTCTTAAATTTTACTTCTTTCCACCGTCTTTTATATTGTAAGTTTATAGTAAAAGTTATACATAACATGTAAAAAAAAGAAGTTGTATAATTGCATAACCCGATTTTTATTATATTAAATCATTTAGATAACTTAAAGCGTATCATATTTCCAAACTGAATTTAATCTATTGCAAAACTCCTTGTATGTATAATGTCAGTACGATTAAAATACATTTTAAAGGAAAATCACGTCAAGTCGAATTAAGCTACTAGGTACTTTTTAAGACGCCTACTAAATTTGATTGACATTTATTCTGACCATGATCAGCAATATTGTATAAATCAATGGTCATCAGCGTAATCCAAAGCAATAATTAGTTGACCTTTGACGTGCAAAAGATAGTACATACATACATGTGGTGTGTGTGTGTGTAATATATACATTATGTTACAATGACGGAAACATTACAGTTGCATTAACATCGATTTTCAATCAAAGTGGTTCATCTGCCGACAAACACGTCAGACTATTGTTATTGTGTACCGCGATATCAGCACGTTACTCAAAATAATTTAATAATAATACCCTAATCAAATCCACTGAGTTCGAAATAATTTCGAAACAATTATTGTTTTCTATTCGGACCTAATAGTTTAAGTTCAAAATCGTTTCGTAACACATACAAAATATTTTCTTCTAATAATAAGGTAATAAGTAATAACGTAAATATATCTCTAATGAATATTTTAAAATCAAAACGAATCTATTCTTAAAATCTCACGCTTATAAATTGAATTTATTTGGCTTTTACGCGTTGTACAGAATGAAGTATGAATTCATTTAATCTAGATTTGATATTTAACTTGTTTTATACACTTTTTTTATCCAACGAATTTGATTATAAATTATAATATAACTATTTTCAGTTTTTGTTTTTATATAAAATTTGATTAAAAAATATTTTATCATTATGATTCTTCTAATTAACTTTGTAAATTAAATTTTTAAAAATGTATTAATAAAACTATGTATACATCTGTAGTTTATAATTTTAAATGTAACATGAATATTATAATGCAAATATGTTTTTAGATATCCACCTTATGACTTATTCAAACACGAATTTTCGATACGTAATAAGTGGGTAAAATAATAATTGCATACCCTTGCTATATTAAAATGCTATGTAGTACAAAAATGTATTTGCAAAACTTAAAAAAATATGCAACAGTATTTTTTTTTATCAACATTGGCCCAAAACATCTGAAAAAAAATATGAAAATTAAAAAAATATACATAAATATTAATCGTGCAACTTTTGTAGTAAAAAAATAATGATGTTATAAACCGCAAAGATAGTAAAAAACAAGTGTATTTACAATACTACGGTTTGATACATTTATTTTAATTTGGATTACCGGGTTGAAAAGCTGTAAACCCACTTAAGTGGATGCATTTTTTATACGATTTAAGGACATTTCATATAATTTAAGTCTGTCAGAAACGTTTTTATACGTGAAGTTAGTCAACTACGGGCATAAAATATATATAAACAGTGAAAATATTAATATATATATTATTATGCCTTAGCTGTTTGATTCAAAATAAAAATTGTTTTTCTATCATAAATGTATTACTATGACACAATTTTTTATTTATTAGTAAACAGTTTGACATATTTCATATTTTACAATGATGTGAGTTTTTATTGTATCTACACGAAAAGAAGTCGAAAAAATACTTCGATTTTCTACTTTAAGGGTGGTTTCTGGTATCAAATTGGATTTAGTATATAATATTATGTAGTTTTGAGAAGTCAACATGGAAAATTGCAATTATTTTTCAAAAGCGTCTGGAACAACAAAAGTAACTATGTAATAAGTAATAACTCAAAAATAAATATCCATTGATACTTTAAATTTTCACTAAATGTTTATATTATGAACATTTTATTTCCATGCAAGATAAATTTTAAAAATATATAAACTTTTTTTGAGCTAAACATTTCAATAACAAATTTTACGCTTGATCCAAAAGTTTGAAGATTTCATTCAAAGTTTACCTATCGTAATATGTTTATATAACAATTAAAAAATATCAAAAATACATGGTCACAATATTTTTTTAATAACTATTTTGAGTTAGAAGTTCATAATAACTTTAAATTTTATATATAAGATTTGAAAACTGAATACTATATTCCAGTCATTCTACATACGTTTCCTTAAA